TCAATTCCACATAGCATGCATTTGAGTGCCTTTACCTTCCCATTATCATCTTTGAGTTCTTGAATGTAATTCCAAGCAGGATCATTCTTTCCTCAACCAGCTTGCCCAGTTGAAGCAGTAGAGCTCGATGTTGTTGATTGAGTACCACTATCTGGATTCGGAGTACTCATCTACAAAAGAAACATCGAATCAACAAATTTACAATAGTAAATCTAACAAGTAAGCAAAAAAATTGCCAAATGGGACAGGGAATAAACCATTACAAATTAAATGGGAATCAGCTTGCCCAGTTAAATCCGTCCATGTTTTACACAACTATACAGGGGGTAATCGATCGGAAAATGCAGGCAGACCTCACCGGGGGTAATCGATCGGAGTAGTAATGGTAATGGAGAACGGGAAAGGGAAGGGAGACCTCACCGGGGCACTCGCCGGCAGGGGCTCGCCCAAATCGGAGGGAAATGGCGATCGATGACCGGCGCTGGGGAAGATGGCGATGGCGACGGCGCTGGGGAAGATGGCGACGGCGCTGGGGAAGCTGAAGTGCAGTCCAGATGCGACGGCGACGACGCTGGGGAAGATGGCGACGGCGCTTCCTTGTCTCCAGACTCTCCACGAAGAAGAAGATGGCGAATGAAAATTGGGAATTAGGGTTCTGCCCGACCCCGACCCACCTTCCCCTTTAATTTTCGGTCTTTTGGTTTTTTTTTTAATTACACCAACCGGCCGAATGTAAAAAACCGGACGACCGGTTCGAGCGGCTCGAGCGGTTAACCGCTTCGGCCGCTCGCCGGCCGCCCCAGAGAACCAGTCTGGCTAAATAGCTTATCCGAGTCGATTTTGTGCCCGGTTGGCAGTTTTGGCGGCTCGGCCGACCGGCTCGGCTCGGCTTTCACAACACTGAAAAAAAGGCTAAACAATGAGGGTATGAGTGGACATTATTAGTGAAAATGATTTGAAGCAAAGTTTGTGTATAGTGAAATTAGGTGTCAGTTACCAAAGTAGAGGGTTATTCGGTGTGGCAAACGAATGAATAGTGGTTGGTTAACTAATAATAACGCAGTAGTGATGATGAACAATAACGTGAAGTTTTAGCTTAACAAGTGGTAATCAACTGGGTGCACGGCTTTACTTTACAGAGGTTGGAAGAAGAGTGAATGAGTATATAAGTTTGGCGAGATTGCACACGCTTGCATTGTTTATGGAACAAACAAACTCGGACCTTAACTCGTTGATTCGCACTAACTAAAAGGAAAAAGGTGTTGAGCTGATCGGATTTTGGTAATGCCTAAAATTGACAGACTTTGCTTAGCTTAATTGTTGGCTTTCCTTCAGTTTGGTGGGCTTTTACTTTACTTAGGTTCGTTTGGAAGTTGCGATTATTTTGTTGAGATTGTCATTATGCATGTATTGTTAATAATGCATCGTTTTTTTTGTTGTTTTATTAGCAAAAATAATATATGAATTATTTCTGTGATGTGACAGAAACTATCACTCATTTTGAGTGATTGTTATATCTCAACTTTTAGTTGTGATTATTGAGATTGTTGAGTTGAGATTGTTTTGTCTAAGCTTTTAGCTGATGCGACATACACAATCACACATACCAAACGTTGTATTTTACAATGCATCAAATTCGACAATACATGTATAATATTATACATGCATTCTCAACAATACATCTATTTAACCATCGCAACTTCCAAACGACCCTAAATTCCCTCTTTCGTTAGTTAACCATTTTTTTAGCGATTTCCATCTCATTTCAAGCTTTTCCTTTTTGTTTATGAAATGTCCCAAAGAAAGAATGTAAGTGTAAAATTTCAGATATGCCAAAGAACCTTTTTCGAGTAGTTACATAACTAGGTATCTAACTGATGTTGTACTAAACAAAGCATATGTTTCGTCGATTAATTACTTCCATTGGCAAGTTATTTATATCCATTTTTTGTATTGCGGAGGAGGGAGACAGATTAAGCATCGTTATTAGCTAGCTGCAATGTGTCAAGTGATCAAAACAAGTTTGAGAGGAATCATCAACAAGAGAAATAAGGTCATGTAAATAGCCGGAAGAAATTTATCAAATAAATAAAAGGAAATGTCTATTAATATATATAAACGCAAATAATAATTGCATTTTGATTACGTTTATATATATATTAATTTAATTAAATCACAACTCAGCCATTATAATGAATATTTTACATTTTGATACCCCAAATTTAATTTTAATGTAAAATCATTGAACAATTATGTTTTGGTATCTAAATTATATGAGATTTTCGTACCTACAATTTTTTAAATTTACATATTGGTCCAATGTTTAGATTAAACTTGTATCCAATCCACCAATTCTTTTGAATCAATCCACCATAACATATTTAGTTTGTACAATACAAGATGTTGTCCTTTTGAATCAATCCACCATAACATATTTAGTTTGTACAATACAAGATGTTGTATCACTCAACTGTAGGAGAAGATTCGACCATTTTATACTTGCTCATTACGTGAAACATTAAATAAATGATAAAAGAGAGAAGACTCTTAAATATTGCAAGAACGAATTTATAAACTCATTTAGTACATTTACGGGGCACTAAATAAACTTCTACTAACTACATGTAACAATATGCGACATCTATAAGTAAGTGTCAATAAATCGCTACGGTGAAAAGGGTTGACTATTGTATTGACGGCCAACTAAAAGAATTGGTCAAAACATTTCCATCATCTACTTCCTTTTCGTTTCATTTTTCACTTGCCTTCCATAACCCTTTCTTTATTTCTTTCTTTGCCTCCTTCGTCTAACCCTAATTAGTATACTATTTTTATGTATTTTAATCACAAGTATGAACGAGTTCATACACGACTCACCAACAGTTTAGAGAATTAATAATTGAACCATGAACCACTAACTTTTTTAGCTCAATGTCGAGTCTCATTAAAAATAAATACATATGGTTATTACTTATTAGAAAACCTTCATTTCCACTATGCGATTTGAAGGCGTGAAATTTTAAGCGAGTTCCCATTTGTATTCTTTTTGCTTCTCTCTAGAGTTTTTCTTTTTTCACCCGGGCTAGAATTTTCAACAATATATATACATGGAATGTTTGGCTAGGTATTTACACATATCAAATAAATAGTTTCAATTTTTCTATAAAAAGGTAAATAATTATCATCTTAAATACATCACCATAAAATAAATTAAGCCTCAAAATTACAGTTCGGTACCTAAATTTAATAGATTTTTAGATTTATAATCTAATTTTTTTTTGCATATAAGTCCTCAAAATATTGATGGAACATTATATTTTAGTACCTAAAATTTTTGTGTATTACATTTTGGTACCTAAACTTTTGAAGTTCTACAAATAGGTCTAATTTTTGTATGTGTAGTTAAAACACCCTCGAACAAATGGGTATTCATACCCAAATCATACACATTTAGATTATGGATGTAAATATCCATACCCTACCCAAACCCATCTACAAACTTTCAAACTCATATATACTTTACCCATGCCCTACCCATAATCAATGGGTCTACTTGGGTTTTAGTATATCATTTACTAACCAAAATTTTCATAAACTTTAAATTGGATGTTGACCGCCATATATTTCTTTTCAGTTAATATCATATTGTCAAGTCAATATTATTAACAAAACTGCTAACAAAAAAATAATTTTAGGCTAATAATACTAACAAAACACCATAACGGGCCACATAATACATGTCCATAAGCCATCTTTGCCCGCGACAAGGCGCGATATCGCCACCTAGTTATGTTTGAAATCAATAGTTAAAAATTACCTAATATTTGACTCTATTTCGGTATCACAATATAGATGGACTACTATTTACTAGCAAGCACAACGTTCGAAGAATTTTCGCCATGGTTCTTTCATAACTGTGACCAAACCGCAAGAGATTGTAGCAAACTAGCCAGTACTCTATCACCGTATCAAGGGAGCACGAGAGACCACATTCAAACAAATATCGAGTTATCTTGCCAGCTAGCTTTTAGTCTAACGAAAGGAACACCTAAAAGACAAACTCCCAACAAACATAACAAGAATATGGTATGAATGAACAATGGAAAAAATGCTTGTGATCTCTAGACTCTCGACCTTTCCTGGAAAAGAACATACATCATATCAACCTTTCGACGCAATCAACTTGTCTCGAGTCATGGATGGTTCTATCCAAAATCACCAACCAAGAGAAAGAACAAATTTATGCTAAATCGACAAACCAGAATGAGAGACGAGAAGACGATCAAATGAAGTTACCGCTAATATTAAAATACTAATGAAGTTTTCTAATATCAACTAGTAAGGAGGAGTCCAAATGTTTTACTTCATGGAAAGTTTAAATAATCTTGTTGCTTTCCCAATCCAATGTTCCATTTCGATTATATCAGAGTAATTAACCTTAAGAAAAGCCCCTCTTTTTTAGCTGTAGTTATAGATTTCATCGAAGAACAAAATTCCAGCCAGCTGCCGGAAAACGAAAAAAAAGGAAAAGGAAATAGATATTTGTATATATGAAAAATTTTATAAAAAAATTGTTTCATTAAAAATTTTCATAAAAACTAGAGTGTCGTTTCCGTAACGTCTCTCCCAAGATACACACGCGGACTCCAGCGTCCAGTCCAGTCCCCCCAATAAATCCGTTTACCTTCCTCCTCACAAAATGAGGAAAATGAGAAAATACTCCTCACTCGCCCAATCCTCACCTCCCTTTCATCGTCCTCGCTTCCACGCGCCGCCAGCAACAAGCAATAAACGAAAAAGAAATGCAACTCGCTTCGCGTCTGTCTCCCACTCCCATATCCCCGCGGGTGGCTTTGCGGAAAACAAAAAGAAAGCCATCACCTCCGTGACTTTTCTTTTTTTTTTATATATTTTAATTATTTCTGCGCTCCCGAGAAAGAAATTGAAAACCGGGAAAAAATAAAAATGCTTAGTACGACAGTTATGCTCCCAAATCTCGCCTAAAACAATCGACGTTGCTCTCTTCCTCCGTTACCCCACCTCCGCCTCCTCCCTCGCCGGCCAACATCAGCGGTAACGGTAACATTCCCCGGCGGCGGATTCCGCTATATTTTACAAACTTCCACTCTCTAAATTCTCTCTCTCTCTCCGTCTCTCGCTCGCCGTACTTCTACCTCTCCTCCGTCTCTCCTTCTCTGCTTTCCAGCTCTCCTTTCTGTGTGGAGGATTTCTGTGTGCGAGGCGAAATCGTAGGGTTTCAGGAGTGTGAAGGGAAGGGAGATAAATGAATTGGCGAGTTAGAAGCTGAGTTTCAATAATGGTTGCTGCAGTTTCCGCTCAGATAAACCCTCCGAAGCCGAGGCCAACGCCGCAAAACCAGAACCCTACCAGGCCGCCTCTGCTGCCGTCGGAATCGGACAATGCTCTCGCTCCTCGCCGCCCCAAGCCACGGGAAGTTACTTCTCGCTACATGTCCTCATCTTCTTCTTCGTCTTCGGCCGCCAAACGCTGCCCGTCGCCGCTGATTTCGCGGCCCAAGACTCCGACGAAGCCGTCCGTTCCTGCGCGGTCGCAATCCGTAGAGAGGAGGTCTGCTACCCCTAGCGGCCGCAGTAATTCCGCCGACTTGAGGATCGCCAACGGTGCAGGCGAAATGACTAATGCACAGAAGCTGTTGATAACTTCGACGAGGAGCTTGTCCGTGTCGTTTCAGGGGGGATCGTTCGCGCTCCAGGTGAGTAAAGCGAAGCCGGCTCCATCGCCGGTCAGCGCGAGGAAAGGAACACCGGAGCGGCGGAGAGCTACGCCTCCGCGAACGGATCAGGTGGAGAATCATAATTCCAGGTCGGCGGAGCAGAAGCACCGGTGGCCGGGGAGATTGCGGGAGCCGCCGAATTCCATGAATAGAAGCGTTGATTGTACCGATGACCGGAAGAGAGCTGTGGGATCTGGAGTCAGCGCGAACGTAGTGAGATCACTGCATAGATTGGATAGTAGGTCCTCAATTGAGAGCAGATTGAGCTCGGATTCCAGCAATGTCGTTGAACCAGAAAAGCTAGTCTCAATCAGCGGATCTGAAGCACAGTCTGATCCTCATTTCCCTTCCGATACTGAGAGTGTATCCTCCGGTACAACTTCAGAAGGAAGTAGTAACGCCGGCGGGCAAGTACACAAGGGTGGACATGGGATAATTGTGCCGGCGAGGTTTTGGCAAGAGAACAACAACAGAATCCGTAGCCAACCACCTGAACCTAGTTCACCTTCCAAGTTTGCAGCGTCCAGAACAATTTCCCTGCAGAAAATCATGCCGCCCAGGAAGCTTGGAATTGAGAGTCCAGTGTCTTCACCAAAAGGTGTTATCAATATGAGGGGGCAATCGTCTCCCTTTCGAAGGCCTGCATCACCTAGTAAGATTGGGACGGTGTCTGCCATGGCAACACCGGTGAGGGGTATGAGCCCTTCAAGAATGAGGAATTCGATGGGAAGTGCAGCGAGCAATTTTGGGAATACATCAACTCTTTCTATTTTGAGCTTTGGTGCCGATCTCAAGAGAGTGAAAGGTGGGGAGACTCGGCTTGTTGAGGTGCACCATTTGAGAATTTTGTATAATCGACTGTTGCAATGGCGGTTTGTCAATGCCAGGGCTGATGCTTCCCTCTCCGTTCAGAGTTCGAATGCAGAGGTATGCATGCATATTGACTTGCTTTCAAATGCATTCCGTATCTCAGTTGTTGAGTTAAGATGTGAATGAGAAGTTGCTGTTAATCTTCTGTGGGAAACTAAATAATTAGGAACATTAGATAGAGGCCAGCAAAAATGGCCGGTCTACTTGATGCTATGTACTTAATTAGGAAGATCAATCGATGATTCAGTGGCTAATTGAGGAAAGATAACCTTGACTTTGCACAATTATTATTTGCTGAAACAGCAATAAGGAATGTGGTTGTTATTTTGAAAAATGAATTGATAGGGAATAGAGGAAATCTGCCATCCAACTTGTGACTGATACAGTTAGCGAGTTTATTGTGTTGCTGACTTGTTGTTATACTTCACAAGTGAACTTACAGCTGTTAGATCACATGTTGCTTAAAATAATTGCAATAGATGGATCTCTGGTTGTGAGACCCACTGTGTTTAAATAGCTACTTAGATCAATGTTGTAACACTTGTAGAGAAGTAGAGTTCGTAGAGTATTACGGATCAATGTGATAAGAGCCAAAGACAGATCCTCTTACTTGAAGTTGAATGTCTAATTCTATAGGAGTTGCCACTGCAACTTCTGGCACTGAATATCCCACGAGTACCAAGTGTCCTGAGTTTTTTAGTGCAAACGAGCTGGAGAAACATCTCTATAAGCACTTGTATTTATGGGCCATCTAAGAGCACTGGTATGAGAAAGGCGTAAGGGTACTGGGGTAGTAACATAGAATGATGGTTTCCAAGGGCTGGTGACTTTATGATGTTTGATGTCTTTACTTCTGATGTTTTAGAATGGAAGACTGGATGGCAGTAGCTGGAAGAAATATGTTCTTAGGATAATTCACTTTATAAAATTTATATCATTACTATCATATGCCTCACCAGTGTACTAACTTAAAAGAGAGACTTTTGTACCATCTACAACATCGACAAACCAATGTGCAATGATCTCACGTATGATTCTGAAATTGAAGATTTAAGAGGACAGTTGTTGAAATCATGTCTAAGTACCCCGGGTATTTTCTGGCTATAGGATAAAGACATTGGAAATGTCTACTTTAGGAACTTGATCAGTTAGTCATACTCATATGTAAAGTGTTTCAACTCGATAGTTTTGTCATATACATGGAATATGTGAATTTAACTATCTGGATTCATGAATGGTAAGTAATTAGGGGTTACTATATCTTTGGAATGCTTGCTATTTTTTCTCGCTCCCTTCGTCTTCTCTTTTTAATGCAGGTGACCATGTGTAGGTCATAAGCATTTCGTTCTGAAGAGTTATTTCTGTCTGTATCAGAAAAGTCTGCATTGTGCACATGTAGTGACAACAAGACTGCGGGAATCGGTTAGAACAAAGAGAACTGAACTACAATGGCTTAGGCATAATTTGAAGCTGATTTCTGTGCTGAGAGGGCAGGTAAACATACTAACTCCCTATTGCTACCGTGTTGGTAGTTTCTCTGTCTCTGTTGGTAACTTCACTCAGTTATGCACCTCTGTTCTTTTTCCACTAGATGCATAACTTGTATGTTTAATTAGAGACCATGTGTTAAGATCTTTCAACATATCCCATAAGTTAGTTTGTTGAGTTTCACTAATGAACTTTGGTTCAGTTGTCATAATTTCAATATTCATCGTGCAGACTTTGTTGTTACTCTTGTCGTTGTCCCCTGACAAAATCGTCATTTATTATTGACGGCTGCAGATGCTATATCTGGAGGCATTTGCACTCATGGAACAGAATTACTCCTGTTCGTTATCAGGGGCCATTGAAGCTCTGCAAGCTAGCACTCTCCGTCTACCTGTTGTTAGTGGAGCTCGGGTACTGTACCCTCTTTTTTCTTTTGTTTTCAGTTGCTTACACAAACATGAGTTTTGATTACGATCATTGTTACCAACAGAATCTAATGAATTCATCTTGTTTCTTTTCTGCAGGCAGATACTCAAAAAGTGAAGGATGCTATCTATTCAGCGGTTGATGTGATGCAAGCCATGGGATCTTCATTACGATCATTGTTATCCAAGGTCTGTCATTTTACCTCTCTTCCTTAGCATGTATGAAATATGCAATTTATCAAATGCTGATGCACTGTTCCCCTGCGACGTGCCCTTATCTTTGATCTCTATGGTTGACAGGTGGGAGAGATGAATTCTCTTGTGTCTGAACTCGGTAGCATGTCTGCGAAAGAGCTATCATCACTTGACGAGTGCAGAGACCTATTGACAACACTTGCAGCGATCCAGGTGAGTTCTATCTTCCTTCAGCGGAATTCCTGCAGCGTTTCTGGCCCGGTTATTCATGAACTGTCTTCTTCTTCGACTTTGCAGGTGAAAGAATGTAGCGTGCGAGCACACATTGCACAGCTACAAGCTCCATGTCCCGGTATGGCAACAGAAATGTAAAGTCCCCCGCGCTCCCACATTGACTCCCTCTTCCCAAACGACAGCTAACATCGACGAAAACACGTTCGCTCGCTCACTCGTTCATTCTTCCTCTGGATTGTTCCTTCTGTGGCGTACAGGCTGAAGAAAGAGTGGTTTTAGTTTTACAAATATATGCTATTAGGGCTTTGTTATTATAATTTGGGTAGCGTATTAGTCAAGAAATTAGATTGTATAGAGAGAGTTTGCTTTCTCCCGTAGCCAGTAAGTCCTGGGTAAGTAAGGAGATTCAAAGAGAGAAAAGGAAAAGAAAAAAGAAAAAAAGCATGCAGTGTAGGTGTGTAAATATATATATTGTAATGATGGTTCCGAGGTGTTCATTCATTCAACCGCTATTATTACTCGTGTAAAATCCTCGGAAAATTCCAGTGGAAGATGTTGCTTCATGAGTGCAGACAATGTGCAGTAGCTGGCAGTGATATTTTTGTCCCCAAAATGTGTTCATAATTTTCTACAAGCTTTAGGATTTGGGATATGAGAAGAGGCCTCAGGCCTAGTTGGGCTGCAGATGACATTGTCCGTCTTCTTCTGTTGGGCTCTAGTTAATGGCGTTGAAGTTGGGCTCTGGACCTGAGACCCATACTTGCTGACTTTCAATATTCTATGGGCAATGGATGTGTTAGGTGGGTTTTTGGGTAAAATCCACCCACCATAACAACAATGGGTGATAAAAAAATGACGCACACACTCACCCATTTGTATCGTTGTGGGTGGATTGGGTGGGTGCGTTTGGCAGTTTCGGTGGCTCAAATTATTCTTAACTAATTAGACAATTATGAGCTATAAATGTTTGCATGAAGCTAATTGAATATCAAGAGTACAAATTAAGAAAACGGATAGTTATTAAATATAATTTATTGCATAACCTAACACCAATTATCTGATTTGCGAACACAAATTTTTTGTTGATAGTTATCATATTGTAAAATGATCGATTTTATGTTGTAAATCAAGTAAAATTTATAAAAGTTATATTTAATTTAATTGAATAAATCACATATTGAAGTTTTGTTATAAGAAGAAATAGTGTTTTATTATAGAATGTGAGTTAACGACTTAATATATAATGTGATTTTGCAAATAATGACTTACCCGCTATCAACCCACTATCCACCCGCCACCCACCCAAATTTAGTGGGTGACTAAAACGATAACTCAAACCCATCCACCCAAACATATAATATATGGGTTTTAATCTGGTGGATTCGGGTGCGTCTTGCGGTTGACCCGCCCATTGCCCTTCCCTAATGCCTCCACGAGAGTTCTTGCTTCAAATCCACTTCATTAGCTGCGTCCTGTGGACCAAGCCCACAAGGCCAGCTCCTCATGAAGGTCAATTAGATATTTGTAACAACCCAGTACAGCTAGCACGCAGCTGGCAAGATGACGTGTAAAGGGCGGCTTGTATAAATAGGAAGAGCTCAAGTTCTATTTGCTATCTTTTGACAACCTGTACAACTGTACTTTACCAATTTTAGCTAGATAGCAATAAAACCATAACTCTTCTCCTCTCGTCTCTCTCTCTTTTCCTCCATCTTTCCCTTTCTCCCCAGATTTGCCATTAACGATCCTTACAAGTGGTATCAGAAGCCTTCAATCTGGCAAAATGGCGACGAACACCTCCCGAATCGTCGACCTGTAGACGCAAATGACAGCTTTGCAGATGAAGTTGGATTCACAACACCATGACCTGAAGGAAGCCATTGCTGCTTTCGCGTCTTCAACTAAGGAGAATCTCGATGCGCTCACCGCTTCTTTGACGCACCTCCGCGAAAAATGGCCGGTCCACGCTCGACAGCAAGCCAATCACGATCAATTCTTCGACCACCAGCAAGGCCACCATCATCAGCTTCACCCATCGCTCTTGGATCACTGTCCTCGCCTAGAGTTCTCTTATTTCTCCGGGAACGATCCTCATGCTTGGGTGAGCAAGTGCAACAAAACTTTTCCAGCTTTACTCGATTCCGGAAGAACAGAAGGTGGAGTTGGTCTCTTATTATCTGGAAGGCCGAGGTCATACTTGGTTCGATGGCTAGTCCTTTCTTCGTTTTCCTTTGATTTGGGGTCAATTCGTGGATGAGCTGTTTCGTCGGTTTGATGATCAAGAGAAGTTGAACGTGGTTGCCGCTTTCAATCAGTTACGGCAGAGCAGTTCAACTTCAGATGATGCAAGCAGAAGCTCCCTCGCCGTCCAGTGAAGTGGAAGATCAGGAGGACAATTATCAGGATGCTGAACTGGAAGTGACCTTGCAGGCTATGGGATCAGGCTTTACGGGAAACTCGTTGCTTATACACGCAACAGCAGGGAAGCGAGAGGTTACCGTCCTCATTGATACAGGTAGTTCTCATACCTTCTTAAACACTATTAGGGCTGCAGAACTGAATTGTAGAACTGAGGTTATAGCGCCAATGAGGGTTAAGGTTGCTAGTGGTCACACTCTATTGAGTAATTCAGTTTGCCGTGGCTTCAGTTGGAAGATGCAAGGGCAGGAGTTTGGTTTTGATGTTCGCACACTTGATTTGCCTGAGCATGATCTTGTGTAAGGCTGGGACTGGTTAGAGACTATTAGTCCTTTCCAGGTTGATTTGAAGAAGAGGCAATTGGCTTTTGAATGGAAGGGTAGGACTCTCACGTTACAAGGACTTATCAAGGAAGGTCAGTGTAAGATGATAACTGGTCGAGACTTGCAACAGCTGTTGAAGAGACGCATGACACACTTAACAAGTGTTGTTTTCTTCCTGGAAACCATCTATGCTCCCACCACTACTCCAGCCTTCTTGGAACCCGTCCTTGCCCAATTCACTGATGTATTTTCCACACCCACATCACTTCCTCCTGCCCGTTCCTTCGACCACACCATCCCATTACTTCCTAACACTAAAACAATCAACATTCGTCCCTACAGATTCCCTCATCTTCAAAAGGTTGTTGCTGAAAAGTTGGTGGAAGAAATGCTTCAGTCTGATTTTATTCAAGAGAGCCGCAGTTCCTATGCCTCGCCTGTGCTGTTGATTGGTAAAAAGGATGGGACTTGGAGGTTCTGCATGGATTATCGAGAGCTTAATGCCAACATAATTAAGGATAAATTTCTTATTCCCCACATATAATATTTGTTGGATGAATTACACGGAGCAATTCTGTTTCCTAAGTTGGACCTCAGGGCTGATTATCACCTGATTCGCATGCATCCTGCAGACCAGTTTAAGACAGCTTTTCACACTCGCCAAGGGCATTATGAGTTCATGGTCATGCCCTTTGGCTTGACCAATGCCCCAGCAACATTTCAGGCTATTAACCATGTTTTTGGCAAGTATTTGCGGAAATTCATTCTTGTGTTCTTCGATGATATACTGGTTTACAACAAGACAGAACCTGAACATGTGCAGCACCTCACCATTACTCTGCAGCTTCTTAGGGATCATCAGTTGTTTGCTAAATCCTCCAAATGCACCTTCTCAAGAAAAATGGGTTTCTTTGGTCTACAGCGGTTGATGACGCTTTTATCACTTTGAAGACTGCTATGAGTCAAGCTCCAGTCCCGGGATTACCCGATGTCACACAGCCTTTCACTTTGGAAACTGATGCTTGTGGGTCTGGTGTGGGGGCAGTATTATCTCATCATAGCAGGCCATTAGCCTTCTTTAGTAAAGCCCTCAGTCTTCGCAATCAAGGTTTGAGCACCTACAAGAAGGAGTACTTGGCTGTTTTTCTGGCAGTGGACCATTGGAGGCACTATTTGGAAGGACGTCAATCTACTATACTGACTGATCATGAAAGCCTGGAGTTCCTTTTGGGTCAGAAAGTGCATACTGCCATACAGAAAAAGGGGCTAGTCAAACTTATGGGGCTTGACTTTCAAATCAAGTACTGAAAGGGTATTACAATGGTGTTGCTGATGCATTATCTCGTGTGTTTGAGGATGAGATTGTGGGTAGCACTTGCAATAATGCGATGACTTCTGTTCTCCCTGAGTGCTGGTCGAGATAGAGAAATCGTATGAGCAGGATTCAGAAGTGTTGGATTGGATTGCAGCAGCTGCAATAAATGATGTTGGTCCTTCTTTATGGTCATTCTCTACAGGCATATTATGTTATAGGGGAGCTATTGTGGTGGTATCTACTGGGTTCTTGCGGCCCAAGTTGTTACGTTTATTTCACTTGTCTCCAGTTGGTGGTCATTCGCTTGCTCAGGGTACCTATCAACGACTTAAGTCGTACTTCTACTGGAGTGGCATGAAATCAGCAGTCACACAATGGGTATCTAAGTGTGAAGTGTGTCAGAGGTGCAAAACTGAGACACTAGCATCTCCCGTGCTTCTTCAACCCTTGCCTATACCGTCTTGTGCGTGGCGTTATATCATAATAGACTTTGTAGAAGGGTTGCCGACTTGGAAGGGTAAGCAAGTGATATTATTGGTGGTGGACAGGTTTACGAAGATAGCTCATTTCCTGGGTTGTAATTATCCTGGTTAGATTTAGTTGATTAAACTGCGGAAGATCCGACAGTAGCTTGGAATCTCTTAAGCTGACCAAGCCCTCTCAGTCTAACTACCCGGCAGACGACTAGTCTTCACCGGGATAGAAAGCTGAAGCAATAAGCACAGAACTCCACTACTGGAATCCAATTCCAGTACAAAGCAATAGACTGGCTAACTCTCGTATAACCAATCCACTACTAACGAATGATGAAGCTCTAACAACCTAATCAGATTCTATCTATCTCATGTTGCATCAGAAATCAAGAAAAGCTGATCAAACTTCAATTAATTCAATGAATCATGCATCATTCGATTAAAACCAAATAGTATAGCAATCCCAAGTCATTATAATCATGATCCCTAACACATGGAACTAGGGTTCTTCATACCCAAGTGAGAGAAGGGTCTACTCCATAGATAGAGGGAGAGAGGAAAACAGAATACAAAGCAGTCATACTCATCAAGATGGGAAGAATCTGCTCTGGGATGATGATTTTCACTCCTATGATGATCTCCAAGCTCGATTTGATGAAACCCAGCTCCAAGATCGCTTCTAGGATGTGTTCTTCGCATTTCTCTCTCTAGGGCTCTGTTTTGGCTCTGAAAAGTCGATCCCCCCTCTTTTTGCTCGAATTTGGGTTAAAACCCAGAAAATCCCGATCACACGGGCAGGCCACACGACCGTGTAGCTTACCCATATGCTTGTGTGAGTTTCAAAACGCGGCGTTCCGATTAAGTGGACTTCAGGCTTCCTACACGGCCAGGGACACACGGCCTTGTGGAATCTCCAGGATGCCCGTGTGAAGGCTCGGTAAATCCCACACGGCCACCTGGGTTCCTTACACGGCCGTGTGGGTTTTAGGAGTGCCCGTGTGGCTTCCTCAGCGTCTCGCCACACGTTCGATCT